ATGAATCAAGACTGGAAAGGTAAAGAAATTGTTGTTGAAGACTTTGTTGTCTCATTTAGTCCTTATAAATATAACTAGAACCATTCTTTATTCTTCTTTTTTTCCCAAATACATGACTCAGTACGCCTTTCTAAGTCTTTCTTTTATATATAGGAACAACAAGAGAAACCACATCACTCTCTAATTCCGGGTCACGGGGTGGAAGAATGCGCATTTCCTGGTGGAGTTGACTTTAGAGAGTATTAAAGATCAATAGAGAGATTCAAGCAAAGAGAGGTGCATATCATCTTTTAATTTGCTTATACTCAAAGACCACACAAGTGATCAAATCAACCATTTCCATTAATAGCTAACCGATGAAGAAGCAAAAGACTTTTAGGAAAACGAGAATGTCTTGTCAAAGAGCTTACTCAGAGAAGAGAATCAGATTGATACAAAGCACAATTTTGTTCTAGTAACTGACATTTACAACATAATTAAAAAAAAAGACACAAATGTACAAACAAACCAAATGATCTTTAACACCCCATTAAAACCACACACAAATTAACAGCATAAAGTTGCACAAAAGCCACTTATGAAGGAGGTGGTGCTTTCTGGTTATATTTGTTCCAAAACCACAACGCAAGAACCACTGCCAAAGAACCTATGAACCATTCAGGAGTCTATAAGGTCAATCGAAAGGGGGAGAAGGATGATAGACCATATCATTGCCCGGAGCAATATAGAAGACTTGTGGGTAAGTTAATCTATTTGACCTACACTCGGCCTGATATCTCTTTTGCAGTGAATCAGGTGAGTCAACACATGAAAGAACCCACGGTGTACCATTGGAGTATGGTAGATAGGATTCTAAAGTATCTCAAAGAGAGCCCCGGCCAAGGCATTTGGATGGGAAAGAACTCAAGCACGGAGATAGTTGGGTATTGTGATGCGGATTATGGTGGAGATCGTAATGATAGACACTCGACAACCGGCTTTTGCACCTTCATTGGGGGAAACTTAGTGACTTGGAAGTCAAAGAAGCAAAAGGTGGTGTCATGTTCAAGTGCTGAAGCGGGGTATAGAGCTATGAAGAAGCTTACAAATGAGTTGACATGGTTAAAGGCGCTTCTTAAAGACTTTGGGATAGATCAAAAGACGCCCATCACATTTCATTGCGATAACCAAGCGGCTATTCACATCGCCAACAACCCGGTGTTTCACGAGAGAACCAAACATGTGGAGATAGACTGCCACAAGACTAGAGAGAAGATCCAAGATGGTACTATCTTACCGTGTTACACTGAAAGTTCGGACCAATTGGCCGATATCTTTACCAAGGCAGCAAGTACCCAAGTTTGCAAGTTTATTCATGGCAAGCTTGGACTTGTAGACCTAACACACCCTTGAGAGAACTTCCCTACTTATGTCAGTGATACTCTTTTTCCCTAAGATTGGTTTTGTCCCACGTGGTTTTCCAATCTTAGGTTTTTAACGAGGTCACTCGCATAAGTGTCAAGTTTATAACAATGATTATTGTAGTATAAACTTGAGGGGGAGTATTGATCAAGAAGATATTTTATTCTAACTAAGTAATAGTTATGAATGAAATGTGTTTCTTGTTATGCAAGTAACTGGTTTGAATAAGAGGAAGAGAGGTAACGGTCATCTTGGACCGTACGGACGCGGGAAGGAGACCATCCTTATCCGGATGGTGCTAAGCGCGTGTACGGCCGTGTCGTGTAGTGTATGACCGTTGTCATGAGCTGGAAAGTGGCTAAAGCACACGGTGACTCACTAGGCTGAATGAGGATGCTTTTAAGGTTATGTGCATACCCATCTTGACCTAGTGAGCTCCCTATATAAATCGTGTGCAGCCCCAAACCATTTGTAACTTTTATCACATTACAATCAATCATCTTTCTCTCTATTATTCACCATGTTCATCTCTATCCTCCCTACTTGATTCTAAACATTTTCAACAAGAATCATCAAGAAAACTCGAGCATGGCGATCTTGTTTGCGCATAGATCGCTCAATCATCTAGGCTTTTTCCGGTTAATTTACCCACGGTCGGTTGGTGGGTTTGCGTAAAACTCCTTACCAAAGATATCTACTAGTCCAAAGATTAGTCGGGCATAGATCCAAACATAATCAAGAAAACATGTATTTTGAAATATTACCCGTAATTTGACCGGGAAAATCCTATTCTTTTTGTCACAGATCTCAGGGCACACTCCCAACCCTTGACCCTCTCAGGCTCCCCTGCATGTTTTTGCTTCAGTTGCTTAAAAGGAAGGGAAAACTCTCCATCAAGACCGCCTTCTCCATCGGGATTGGCTGCTCTTTTCACATCGTCCGATCTTACGTTATAGAAGACTGGAATCACAACGAGTTTCTTTTTCTTCATCTGTTCATTCATCGTCACAAGCTCATCCAAACACCACTTTGACTCACAGTACCTCTTGGAGAAGATAGCAAGCGCGATTTTTGACTTCTTGATCCTTGTGAAGAGATATTGTAGTCTTCTCCCTTTCTGCTCTTTAGTGTCTATGAAGACGTTGATCCCTGCGTTTCTTAATTGTAGCTCTAGATGGTTGACAAAGATTTCGCGCAGCTCATCTCCGCGGTAGTTGATAAAAACCTGATCAGAAAGAGGTTCTTGGACCTGCTCATCCATTGGAATGGTGTCTAGGTTCGTCTGAAAAAAATAGAGAATATAGTTGGTGAGAGACTTTGTTGTCTCACTTTGTCCTTAAAAAACATTATAGAGAAACCATTCTTTAATTCTTCAGACCAATCAGTGTCAGTGACTCGATGCCAAGTCTGCACCTATCCTCAGTCTTTCTTTAATATTATACAACACCTTTGTCTCAATGGATCCGAATACTCTAAATCCCGGGTCATGGGCCGGATCAATAATGTTTTTGAAGGAAAACTATAAAGAGAGAAACCCTTAACATGCTCATACCAATATAAATACATGAAACTGTCTTTCTCATATAAGCTTGCGGACAAAAGCAGAGTAATACAGGTAAATAACAATTAAACAGAGACGTAATGGTGATCAACCAAACAGCGCGAAACCATTCAACCACGAAATGGTGATCAATCAAGAAGTTATCTGTTCGGATGTTTCCGTAAACAATAAAGCTGGTGCAAGACACCAACCAAAACCGGAAAACCTAGTAAACACTTAACAGCTTTGTAAACTTTCACATCAGTGCAAAGTAAACGAGCTACAAAGAGACTAAAGATAAAAACCGCAGCTGAAGCCAAAACAAACACTTGTCCTTTCATAATCTTTCTTCTTTCTAGAGAGTCTGTTAGCTCGCTCTTAACCGCCCTAACGATTGCCATGACCAGACCTAAACCTGTTCTGCAAATATGAGTGAGGAAAAAAACCATTAGATGAGCTCAAATAAGTAGTCTCCCTAAGAACAAATTATCAAGAATTGGCTTCAATGTTCTTCTACACTCCATCTACTTAAGAGAATCATCAAGAAAATAATTACCCGTGTTCTTCTGAGGTTAAGCCGGTCCTCTCTACTATTGAACTCAATGAATTCTCCCAATTCAAGATCTTGAGTGGATCATTTGCATATTTCATCTTCATTTCCTCGAAATGATTACCGAATTCACCCTCGAGGTTCTTTACATCGCTTATGCTCACATCGTAGAAGACAGGTATCACCTTGAGGTTGCTTTGTTTTACGTGCTCGTGCATCTTTTGATGCTCGTTCAAACACATCTCTGACTCTGTATACCTCTTGGAGAAGATTATGACCGCGATATTAGACTCCTCGATCTTTGTGGAAATATTTCTTATGTCTCTCCTATTTGCTTCTGCTCTGTCTATGAAAACGTTGACTCTTTCATCTCTCAATCCCCACACAAGATATCTGATGAAATTGTCGCGTAATTCATCTCCATGGAAACTGATGAATACCTGAGGAGGACGTTGGTATGGTCTTGGCTCTGCCATGGGAGGATTAAGACTTTCTTGTTTAAAATTTGCTTCCTGAATTTATGGAGAAGAACATGTTCAGAAGCTGGCATGTTTTGGAAAATTTCATTTCAAATGTCAACGCTTCGTTCTTGAATTATCATGGCATTTAATATTCAAGCAAGTTTCAAGCCATGTCTCTTCTTTAATGTAGACATATACAGTATATAAAATGACATTATGTATAACTGTTTTATGCAATATATAGAATGGCATGTTGGGTAAATCTTTCTTTAATACATGGTGACATTTTTGTTCTTTTGACCAGGCAAATGGAAACTAATGACAAAATTTTCTTGTAAAAGATGATATATATAACGAGTGGCAAGAACATTTACTTATCACTAGATAGAAGACTGTAAATAATCATGACTCATCAACATTTAGATAGCACATAATTCTATAAGATTAAATAGAACTCCGAATGCCAAAAAGTATATGCAATTATGCATTGTGAAACCAACTCTCAACCACGTTTATGGGAAAAAAATAACAGATTATTGAGAGATTTTATGGGAAAAAAATATCCGTCATAACCGACATATTACTGAAGGATTTTATGAAAAATTCTCAAGGACTTTCATAAAGCATGTCATATATTGATTCATACATTTAAAGTTAATAATTCATTTATAAAATCTTCGTTGAAAACAACTACCTTCTTTTTCTCTTAATTAAATAAAGAGATGATCCAGCAATACAGCATTAGTCAAAAACAAAAATAAAGAGCCTAAATGTAGTTGTCAGATGAGAATAGATAATTCCTACACTAATAAACATGCGCGACACTAATGGCTCGAGCAGATGTGATCACCAGCATCATTAGCTGCATGTCAATCAATGATAACTTGACATGTAGGAGAAAGCTTTGTGGATGTAAGACGCTTCTTGTAGCTCTCTAGCTCTATAGAAGAAGAATCTGTGAGATTAGAGTCAGTTTCTTGAGGATTGCTGAATTCTCAAGAAAGTAATTCACTAGTCTAATCTCACTTTCTTCCTTCATTAGCAGTCTGTTTGTAACGCCCCGACCGCCATCTTTTTTAATGGTCCCTACGTCCTCTCTCAGGCCCATGGGCCCATTCCTGTCTGACGGCCGGTCCGCTACGAGGCTTTAAAGACTTGTTTACCGACCCTACAAATCACCACACGATCTTTCCCTGTGTTTTGTCTACACTCACACAGTTCCGACAATCACTTCCCGGAAGGTCATCCTGTGTTTGGACTTCTTTGTAAGTTTTTGTTGTAACTAGGTTGTTTTGTTGGACTTGTAAATTTTCATTTAATAATTTTAAATTAATCAAATTTTGATTTGAACCTCAAACGTCGATTTTCTCAAACAACACAACACACTCTCGGGAAGATGACTTTTCTATATTCCCGATAAAATATTTTCCTCGAAATTCACTCTCTTCTTCTTCTTCCTCTGATATTGTATTTGTATACCTCTCGAAGCTCTTTCTTCAACTGAAGAATCATTGAAGACGAAGAAGAAGAAGGAATAAAAGATGAAAGAGAAATTAAACCCCAAAATCAGAAAACCCAATAATTCATCTTCAAAGAAGGTCACAGTTTCGTTTCTCTCTGTTTTCTTTGTTTTCGTCTTCGTTAATACTTTCTTCTATCCAAGTTTTTACTCTGATTCTGGCTCAATTCGTCGCAATCTCGTCGATTCTCGAGAAAGTTTTGATTTTCCTGAAAAATTGCGTAAAACGAAGGTTTACATGTACGGCTTGCCGACGAATTTTACTCACGGAGTTATCCAGCAACACGGAGGAGAGAAATCTGATGACGTAACCGGGTTGAAATATCCGGGTCATCAACATATGCATTAGTGGTATCTTTATTCAGATCTTACTGTTAAGTTTCATGGGCTTCCAACTCAAAACCAATTGGCAATGAGTGGATTGGCCCAAGTCCCTTATATACTACTCAAGTCCCTTCCCATCTTTCTAATGTGGGATCTTTCTCCACACGCCCCCTCGAGATAATGGCTCTTCTAGCCATTAATCTCGACAGAATCCATCACGCCGCATCGAGATAATGCTCTACTAGTTATCTCAACAGAATTGAGCCTTCCTTTGGGCTATCAATTAGTGGGGGTGATCGAGCCACTTTCAGGGCAGGATTAATGGGTCAGCGCGTATGGATCGGGCTCTGATACCATGTTAAGTTTCATGGGCTTCCAACTCAAAACCAATTGGCAATGAGTGGATTAGCCCAAGTCCCTTATATACTACTCAAGTCCCTTCCCATCTTTCCAATGTGGGATCGTTCTCCACACTTACCCGACCCAAAATTGAACGGGTCGGGTCTCCGATTGTCAGGCTTTTTGACCCTGCTGAGGCAGATTTGTTCTTTGTTGCGGCTTTCTCCTCTCTAAGCTTGATTGTGAATTCGGATCGACCCGAGTTCGGATCCGGGTTTGGGTATAGTGAGGAGGTGATGCAGGAGAGTTTGGTGAGTTGGTTGGAAGGTCAAGAGTGGTGTAGGAGGAACAATGGGAGGGATCATGTGATTGTTGCGGGTGACCCGAATGCGTTGAACCGGGTTATGGATCGGGTTAAGAATGCGGTTTTGCTTGTGACGGATTTAGGTTGGTTTAGAGCTGACCAAGGGTCCCTTGTGAAAGACGTAATAATACCTTATTCTCATAGGGTTGATGCTTATGAAGGCGAGCTTGGAGTTAAGCAGAGGAACAACTTGTTGTTCTTTATGGGAAACTGATATCGCAAAGATGTAAGATTTAACTAATGATCTCTATTATTCGTGATCTTGAATTAGTAAAGGAGTTTTTGAAGTCAAGTACTTTTGAGTAAGATACAGAGAAACCAGCCATAATTTACTAGGTAGTGTTCTTGTTTATGGATTGGCATTGAATGTCAAATATGTTAAATTGTGAGAGATTATCGAAAAACTGCAGAAAGGCGGAAACTTTGCAGATGCTGATTTTGACTCTATGTGCTTTGTTGTGTTTGTTTGACAGGGAGGCAGAGTCCGAGATTTGCTTTTCAAGCTTCTTGAGAACGAAGAGGATGTTGTTATCAAACACGGAACACAATCAAGAGAGAATAGGCGTGCGGCTAAACAAGGAATGCATACGTCTAAGTTTTGTCTACATTCAGCTGGTGATACTCATTCAGCTTGCAGATTATTTGATGCCATTGCCAGTTTATGTGTCCCTGTGATTGTAAGCGATGGCATTGAGCTACCTTTTGAAGATGTTATAGATTACAGAAAGTTTTCTATATTCTTGAGGATGCCGCTTTGAAACCGGGGTTTGTGGTTAAGAAGCTGAGAAAAGTGAAACCAGAAAAGATATTAAAGTACCAAAAGGCTATGAAAGAGGTAAGAAGAGTTTCTTGATTTGTCTTCTGAAAGTTCCTTTGGATCTATTGAAAAAAAATGTCAACTTTATGGACTTGATTTGTGTAGGTTAGGCGATATATTGACTATACGCATCCAAATGGAAGTGTGAATGAGATCTGGAGACAAGTTACCAAGAAGATACCACTAATCAAACTGATGATTAATCGGGAGAAGCGCATGATCAAGAGAGAAGGAAGTGACCTTCAATGTTCTTGTTTATGCTTAAACCAAACCGGGATCATCCATGGTGTTTAGTAATGTTAAAAGCATATGGAAAAGCTGAATGTGTGCCTATCAATAACGAATCAAGAACCAAGTTTGAAGCTTGTACAGTGATTTGTTCAGATCTCTTGGAACCCGCAGAGGATGGATTAGCAAGAGAGAAGCAAGCAAGCTCACGCCAAGCAACAAAATGTGATCATAATTAATGATGAATCAAAGACTGGAAAGGTAAAGAAATTGTTGTTGAAGACTTTGTTGTCTCATTTAGTCCTTATAAATATAACTAGAACCATTCTTTGTTCTTCTTTTTTTCCCAAATACATGACTCAGTACGCCTTTCTAAGTCTTTCTTTTATATATAGGAACAACAAGAGAAACCACATCACTCTCTAATTCCGGGTCACGGGGTGGAAGAATGCGCATTTCCTGGTGGAGTTGACTTTAGAGAGTATTAAAGATCAATAGAGAGATTCAAGCAAAGAGAGGTGCATATCATCTTTTAATTTGCTTATACTCAAAGACCACACAAGTGATCAAATCAACCATTTCCATTAATAGCTAACCGATGAAGAAGCAAAAGACTTTTAGGAAAACGAGAATGTCTTGTCAAAGAGCTTACTCAGAGAAGAGAATCAGATTGATACAAAGCACAATTTTGTTCTAGTAACTGACATTTACAACATAATTAAAAAAAAAAGACACAAATGTACAAACCAACCAAATGATCTTTAACACCCCATTAAAACCACACACAAATTAACAGCATAAAGTTGCACAAAAGCCACTTATGAAGGAGGTGGTGCTTTCTGGTTATATTTGTTCCAAAACCACAACGCAAGAACCACTGCCAGAGAACCTATGAACCATTCAGGAGTCTGGAAAAACTTCTGATCAGGGAGATACTTAGGGGCAATGAAGAAACTAAAGATAAAGCTGATGGTTATAGCCGAGATAGCAATTCCTATAGCTGACCAACTTTGATCAGTTGGTATGTTTAGCTGTCTCTTAACCTCCTTAACAATATCATAAACAAAAGTGGTATCGTGTCTGCAAAACATAAAATAAAAACATGAGTTAGAGAAAAGAAATCGATGACAACCATGATGCAAGTAGGTTTTTTTTTTTTTGGTTATATCCATAATACAAGTATTGATCAAGAAGATATTTTATTCTAACTAAGTAATAGTTATGAATGAAATGTGTTTCTTGTTATGCAAGTAACTGGTTTGAATAAGAGGAAGAGAGGTAACGGTCATCTTGGACCGTACGGATGCGGGAAGGATACCATCCTTATCCGGATGGTGCTAAGCGCGTGTACGGCTTGTCGTGTTGCTTATGACCGTTGTCATGAGCTGTAAAGTGACAAAAGCACACGGTGACTCACTAGGCTAAATGAGGATGCTTTTAAGGTTATGTGCATACCCATCTAGACCTAGTAAGCTCCCTATATAAACCGTGTGCAGCCACAAATTATTTGTAACTTTTATCACATTACAATCAATCATCTTTCTCTCTATTATTCACCATGTTCATCTCTATCCTCCCTACTTGATTCTAAACATTTTCATGGTATCAGAGCGTTCGGTTCTTGAATCTTTTCTCTCTTAATCTTAGCTTTTCGATTTCTCTTCTTTGAGTTCTGTTCTTTGGTTTGCGAGATTGGGTTTCATCTTATTTCCGGGTTTTGCTGTTCTTGGGGTAGAGTTTCTTAAAGTCTTTGGTGAGGATTCCATTCACAAGAGTTAGGATATCTTTGAAGCGATTTAAAGGTTTTCTAAGGAGTTTAGGTTGGGTTCATAACTAAAGGTTGAAGCTTTATCACTAAAGGTTGAAGCTTTATCTCGGGTTTGAGTTTTGAACGGTTCAAAATCAAGTCTTTACTCTTGTAAGATGGCGCTTGTGGTTCAAGAAGTGAACAAGGCTTACAAAGATCTGAAATTTCTGGTTGCTTTAAATTAATGGAAACAACTATCTCTTATGGAAGAGAACAACGACGAATGTATTGGGTGGGAGAAGACTCACAAGATACATTGAGTCTACCTATGAAGAAGCGAAAGCTTTGGAAGAAAGCTTGGTCAAAGAGACTTGGACGCAAGAAGACTTGACGGTTCTGAGTGCTCTCCATTGCTCTCTTGAGGCTTCACTCTTGGAAGGGTATTCGTATTGCGAGACATCTAAAGAGCTATGGGATACACTTGCCAATGTTTTCGGTAACGAGTCAAACTTGACAAGGGTATATGAGCTCAAGAAGACTCTCGGAAGCCTAAGTCAAGAAGACAATGATTTTAATACTCATTTTGGGAAGTATAGGTCTCTAGTTGCTGAACTAGAGATGCTAAGGCCATTCACCACCGAAGCCACAACACTTAAAGATCGCCGAGAGCAAGATCGTGTCTTCGGGTTGTTGATGACGCTTAATCCTACTTACACAGATGTGATTCAACACATTCTAAGGGATGACAAGATTCCTACCTTGGAGCAAGTGTGTGCAAAGATACAAAAGGAGTTTGGGTCACAAGGGCTATTCGGCACTAAAGGTGAAAATCTGCCTACGGCGAACAAGGCGGGGTTCGTGAAACATAAGGACAAGAAGGCGTCGGTTTGTGATCATTGTAACAAGAAGGGTCATACCAAAGAAGATTGCTGGATTCTACACCCCCATTTGAAGCCGGAGAAGTTCAAGAACCTTAAGTCGAAGGCGAATGTGGCCAATGTGAGTGACGGTGGACAAGAGAATGAAGAGAGGGCTATTGTTCAGTATGGTCAACAAGAGAAGGCGTTGCAAGCCACGATTCAAGATAAGGGCTGTGGATCATCGTCTCAAACTCAAGAAACCATTGTGATGAACAAGGCGGACCTCGAATCTCTCATTCAATCAATCGCATCAAAATTCAGTACCGGTGGTATTTCTCTCTTTACTTCTAATTCTCATGATCCAAAGTCATTAGTATTAGACTCAGGAGCTTCTCACCATATGATAAGTAATCCTAAGTTGTTAGAGAACATTAAACCGGCTTTAGGAAGTGTTAAAGTTGCGAATGGACAGAATGTGCCGATTGAAGGAATAGGTAGTATAAACCTATTTAGTAAACGTTCTAGTGCTTTCTATATGCCTAAGTTTACTTTGAACTTACTCTCAGTTAAGAAGACTACTAGAGACTTAAATTGTCTTGCTATTTTCAGTCCTAATGATGTGAAATTGCAGGATATTAAGAGTGGTAATGTGTTTGGACAAGGTGGTACTAAAGATGATCTCTACGTGCTTGAAGACACTTCGCTTAACTCTATCTCTAATAATGTTGCTTCTTATATGATTGCGAACAATGTTAAAGCTCCGGTTGTTTTATGGCACAATAGACTTGTTCATCCTCATTCTAGAGCTTTGAATTTACTTTTACCGGGTTTCTCTTATGATTGTGCTAAATGTGAAGCATGCATTTTAGGAAAACATTGCAAAGTAGTCTTTCCCAAATCAAATACTATTTATGAAAAATGCTTTGATCTTGTGCATTCGGATGTTTGGACTTCACCTTGTGCATCTAGAGATAATCATAAATATTTTGTCACTTTTATAGATGAGAAATCAAAGTATACTTGGGTAACCTTGCTTCCATCTAAGGATAGAGTTTATGATGCATTTATAAACTTCCAAAATTATGTGACTAATCACTTTGATGCCAAGATTAAGATCCTTAGAACAGACAATGGAGGAGAGTACACAAGTACTAAGCTCAAAACACACTTGGAAAAATGTGGAATTCTACACCAAACAAGTTGCCCATACAACCCTCAACAAAATGGTGTTGCCGAAAGGAAGAATAGACACCTAATGGAGGTGGCAAGGGCAATGTTGTTTGAGAAACACATGCCAAAGCGGTTTTGGGGAGATGCCGTGTTAACTTCATGTTATCTCATAAACCGAATACCAACCCGTATCCTTAATGATCAATCCCCTTTTCAAGTTTTGAATAACCAAAGTCCTAACATTGATCATTTAAAGGTATTTGGAAGTGTGTGTTTTGTTTTTGTTCCAGGTGACTTGAGGAACAAGCTAGAGCCGAAAAGCACTAAGTGTGTTTTCATTGGATACTCAACAACGCAAAGAGGCTATAAGTGCTATGATCCGGTCATGAATAGGTACTATGTATCTAGGGATGTAAAGTTCATGGAAGATGAAGCTTATTTCGGAGAGAAGAGTTGGGAAGGTGTGAAAGACTTACCAAATTCAACTTCGGATAGAGCTAGAAGTCTTAGGCACATTCTTGAACATTTGAGTAATGGATGCTCTCGTCAAGAAGAGAGAGAAGCCACACCAAATGATAGTACTATTGAAGTTCAAGAGAGTGGTAATAACATAGCTCAAGAGAGGGGTAATGACATATCACAAGAAGCTTCGGATAACCAACAAGGAATGGATAGAGAAGAAAGGTCTAGTGAAGAAGTGGTAGAAGAGAATCCATCTAATAAAAGGGAGGTCATTGAATCTTCAAGCGAGGATGAGACATATCAAGCTCCACAAGTAACACAAGACTCCATCTACACTAGAGAGAATCCAAGAAAGAGCATGAGAGAGAGGAAATCTCCATCTAATTGGAAGAACACTAGAGTGTACTACAATTGTCAAGCCGTGGCTCATCCAATTCAAGCTACATGTTCGATTGACCTTCTTCCCGAAGAACATAAGGCTTTTCTTAGCAAGCTAGACGTGGAGTTTGTCCCACAAAGATATGAGGAAGCTAAGGGAATTAAGGAATGGGACAATGCGGTTGATGATGAGGTACAAGCTATGTTAAGAAATCATACATGGGACGAAGAAGAGCTACCACAAGGCAAGAAGTGTGTGAGTTCGAAATGGGTGTTTACTATTAAGTACAAGAGTAATGGAGATATAGAAAGATACAAGGCAAGATTAGTGGCAAGAGGGTTTACCCAAACGTATGGTGATGATTATCGAGAGACATTTGCTCCGGTCTAAGCATGGCCCGCCATTTCGACTCTCACGAAGAGG